TTATGTGGGGTTACCATTTTTCTTTTTGACTTTAAAGCGGGACGCCTCTAAAGACACGACCCCTTAGTTGTGATCCTGTAACTTTACAGTTTCCGATTTACTACACAGGCCTACATTTAAAGCCATCCCGGTTGTTTTACCATATTATCATCGAGTTCATGCGCATATTCTATGTCTAAATATCGGGTTCAGTTCGAAAAATAGACAGGAATAGACGCTAACGATACAAATGATCCGAATTTAGATTTTTTATGTACAACAAAGGGAATAAAGAGATAGTGTGCCGTTTTCAATCATTGAGATTTACTTATTCGCCCAAGTATGCTTTTCTGTAGATAACACCTTCAAAAAGACGTTGTTCAATGTTACATTCACGTGAACGTCTGAACAGGACCAATTAGAATTGATATTACTTACATGACGTCTGAACAGGACCAATTAGAATTGATTTTACATGTGATACGTTCGCTAACAATGTTAGCGGGAAACAACCAACATAACGCACACACCTTCAGTAAGTAGACTAGCGTTGCGATACACAGCAACAACAGTAACGAGAACATGTTCGTGTAATATCGGGGACCGGGACTGTCATAGATATTTCAGGTCATGTGACAATGATCCATTCTTCTTGATCATATTGAAACATCAATTGAAATATCTCGTGATGTGAGTCAACTATGTACCGTATCAGGTACCGAACCACAGTCAAACATTTTACATAAAAACGTTACTAAATAACATGCGTCAACTTAACACCACCTGAATCTGGCTACAAATTTTGGTACAGTGACTGTCATAGCCGTTTAGGGCTGATGGACAATTCGACTACACGGACAACTCACCAGGTCTATCTGTAGTCGAGTTGTCTGCCTCCCATTTCACATGTCCCGTGACAATGATCTACTCTTCTCCATTCAATTACAACATGAATTGAAATACTAAGTAATCAGTTTCATTCCCTTCTCCATTATTGGAACAAAATTTAAAAAACAAGCCCCGCTTTCACCAGAAAGCTACGAGTTAGTTCAGTGTCGTTGCGCTGTGTTACGGAACCGGAACTGCCCTATCTTCAGAAGTTCCCAATTGAAATTGCAAGATGGTCCGACTCACAACTGTAGTAACACCAACGATCCGAGTCACTACTGTAATATAACACCAAGTACGGCAATATTCACCATTCCTCAAATCTTAGCAAAGCAAGGATTCCATTACGAACCCCCGACGTTCGATGGCACATGGTCAGAAGAACAGGAGCGTCCGCAGAACGTTCGGTGACGTCATAGCAAACAAAAACAAATTTTACAGAGCCAACAGGAATATTTGAAATAAACAAAAGTAATAACCTCCGGAGAAAAATTTCATCTTTAACCACTGAAAATTTCAAAGTAATAGGTCGAGTAATCAAGGAGAAAAGCGACTTTTTAGATTTTCTACTAGGTGTCCAAAAGTGTCAAAGAACAACAACAACATAATATTGAAACGATCGGGTGACCGTACATTTGAACCCATGTACATTTGAACCCATATGTATATCCGCGGGTTCAATCTATATGCAGGTGTTAAACCCGTGGGTTAGGGTTAGTATGGGTTCAAATATCCGTAAAACAAAACAAATTTCCATAGGTGCAATAGTATGCAGGTGCAATTCCCATGGGTTCAAATGTACGTGGGTTCAAATGTAATGGAACCAAACGATCGTTATGTCCACTACCAATAAAAATGTCCAATAAAAAAAGGAGAATTCTGTAGAGCGGGCAAAACCTTTAAAAAAGTTTAAAACAAGATGAGTATCATGTGCCCGCTCACCAACACGCATTCACAAAAAATTTTGTTAAACAAGGCTTGGGCCAGAAATAAGCACACAAAAAATACGCGAATGCTGGATGGCTGAACGCCAAAGCGGGAATTTTTGCTGACTTGTCGGGACAAGACGCTAAAAAGCGGGACGTATGGTGAGCCTAGGTTTATGTCCTTACAGACATTGCGAAGAATTATTGGAGGACTTGAAGTTATTACTTATCGATTTTAATCGGTAAGTATGTTGATGGGTATTTGTCTGTATGTCTGTTAGATGCACGCAATATCTTACGAAAGCGAGATTGAATCTGCTCCAGATTTCCCATGTCCGTTCATCATATCTCGGGCCAGAAGCCTATTGACTTTGGGCGAATTATGTTGTATAATTAGCGAGTTATTTTTTAATTAGTGATGGGACACAATGTGTCACTATGGAGTAAGAGCGCTGTTTTGGGGGATCCCCTAACTTTCGGTCGATAAGTCTTCGGTTTCTGACCGATATTCTCGTTTTAACTCTCAGGGCGTACGTCCATTTAAGGTCCAACTCATACGTTTCGACGATCCAGCGCACAAGCTTAACTTTATATTTATACTTCGTCAGCTCACCTACTTCAGTTATATTGCGAACGAAGAAAAGGGTGACCGTACATTTGAACCCAAGTACATTTGAACCCATGTGTATATCCGCGGGTTCAATCTATATGCGGGTGCTAAATCCCATGGGTTAGGGTTGGTATGGGTTCAACTATCCGTAAAACAAAAAAAATTCCATATGTGCAATAGCATGCAGGTGCAATTGTCATGAGTTCAAATGTACGTGGGTTCAAATGTAACGGAACCGAAGAAAAGTGGTCTTATCTGGTGACATTTTTTTTGGACTGAATAAAGAATACAATTAATACTATTTTTGATTTGTTTTTAGAAGCTGTTAAATAGCAGTAAAGATGATTTAATAAGATCCACAGCTAATTTTGATGTTCGGTATCTTCTCGCGATGGTTTTGAGAATTTAACTAAACCTAGAAACCGAACCAAAGTTTTGGCAATCCACACTGTCCCGGTTTTTCATTTTAAATATATGGCAGTCAGGGGGCCATCCACAATCGCACCTGCGGTGCTCCGACGAACGTTAGAGACCAGCATCACGGGTACATAGTTTCTGAACATACCGGCACGATAAACGAGTATTACCGGTACCAGGCGATGACATCCGAATGTGGGTAAATCCACTAACGCAAATGTCAAGTCGATTTTAAATTCCACACTGGATTGCTAGTTGAATTTAAAATGTCCTAAATCAGGGGTCACCAAACTTTTTTGACCGCGGGCCGGGTATAACTCAACCTGTGTTGAAACGGGCCGGACAAATGCTTTTGTCAATGCAATACAATAAATTCACAAAAATTGGGAAATCCATTCAATTTATTCAACAATATATATTCTACATTTCTGAAGACTCGAATATTAAATTCTATATATATCGCAGAATATAGATCGAGAATATCCTAGGAAAACAATTGTACAAGATTTCTATATATAGACGACAATCCTGAGTTTAGCTGTTATCAAAACGTTGCAGACATGAATTAGGAATGCTACAAAATCCGCTTTTTCGCGCCAAAATATGTACGCATCACGTCTGCTAAGTACCTTTACGGAATACGGCTCTTACAAACTACCGACTGACTGCTGTAGCGTGGAATTCCATGAAATTTCGACATAATTTAGATAAAATAAACAACTATTATCTATCTGGTAGTTGGTAGTTTTTATTCATTAGCGCATAAATTTCCCAACATTCGGAGCTTTTAAAATACGCTCAAGTTATACGTGGTGCAAATTAATGATATTGTCTATGAAAACCAATAAAATTTATGTGGACGTGTGTATTTCTTTCCTAACTTGATACTTACCAATTTTCATGAAGTTTGTACAATCAGAACATCGTTAATTATTCCCCGCAATGAATGCCTGCCAAACTAACATGCACAACTTTATTTGCGACGATCTTTCGGCGGTGTCAAGACCGTTGCATGAATAAAATCCTGAAATAGTCTCAATATTCTATAGATGTGACGCAGATCGAAAGATTAGTGATTGATATGTTTTTTTTTATATATTCATAACAGTTCTTATCAAAAAAGTTATACAATCCTTATGGAAAAGTGGCCTGTCGTGCGGTACTAAAATTCCGATATCTCCGTTATTTCTTGACCGTTTTTAAAAAACTGGGTATTGTTTTATTAATTTCACTCAGATCTATCCACTGGCGCATTTTTTGTTCAAATCGGATAAACTTTGATCTTTTCTAACTTACTTACATGAATATCCGCATTTAAGCAGTACAAAATTAGTGTGACTTGTGAAATTGAAGCAGTTCGCGAGGGATCACAGTACTGTTAGCGCAAAATGCACATTCGACATTCATTTTAGCACAAAGACGTAAACAGTTTTGTCGAATGCACGCGCCACGAGTGAATCTTCCGCTAAAAACATTGCCTCCCGGTGGAGAATTTTAGCCTATTTTGTCACAGCTATTTTTTAGACTAATTATTCATTACTACTATTAAAACTACAACTCCGAAAGAGGCAAATGATGATTGACTTATTTGATTCATACTTAAATTCCCCAAACACAACCAAAAACTAACGAATAGCATTCAAAATCGCAAAAACGAAGTATTGTTTACAACCCCGACTTAAAATCTGTCAGGGTGACGAAAGTGTCTGAGCGGATGCGAAAAGGCCCATCATTACGTCATTTTTTGCATCTTGCTGATTGGCCAATGTTACGAAATAAACAAGGAAGACGATGGTTTTCTTGGAAAAATATTTGGCCATTTTTGCGTGTTATTGGGGGCCGGATAAAATGACGACGCGGGCCGTAGTTTGGTGACCCCTGTCCTAAATGAAACACCGCTTAGCGACAACGTAAAAGGCTTAACAGTCAGACATTTGCCATGGTATGTTTGTCGTTTGCATGATATTATAATTATATTGGAGGCGACGCAGGTCAGCCCGCGATAATAGTAGATAATGAAGTGTGCGAATCCGATACACACGACTCGATGACAATTCGTATCAGTTATTGGCCGGAACATACTGGTCGTAAACCTGAGCATTTAAAATCAGCACATCACACGACCTACATGCCTACAATCTCATACTTCTGCTATTATTATCCAGAAATTGTTCGCTCAATTACTTTTCATAAAATAGATTATATATTTATAACTTTATAAACAAGTTAGCTCTTGAGTTACCAGTAGTTACATTTCTTTGTCATACAATGAGAAAGATACTAACGAAACGTTGTTTGTCATGTTACAATATTATAATAAATCAATAATAGTAGAATATAAAATACCGCAGGTCACTCATTGTGTAATCTGTGTCACAAATCAACTGGACGAAAATTATTCCAACAATAAACTTTGTGCAAAACTTTGAAATCATGCTGAAAAGTACATACAATCAATGATCATTCATCTATCTTACTCAAACCAAATCTGTGGATTGATGATAATCTGAATAAGACGGGTCACCCTTCACTGTAAAACGCTATTTTCTTGTTTTTCTAGTTTTTGTTTGCATCGAGCGTTATTTTCATTTCGGTGGAAAGTAAACTACTGACTGACTAATCAATCATTGATAATATTGACCAATGACTTGCAACTAACAACTGTCATTTCAAATGGCCTTAGGGCCTCATTTGTGTTTTTCATCATTGTTGAAATCAGATGCAACAGAGTTCTTAGCATCACATATAATAACTAGACTCATTGGTGTTTTCCATTCAATCCTAGACCGCCTCGGTAAACACTTTGAAATATTGTTGTTCCTTTCAGTTGCTTGCAGATAATTACCATACTACAGCATATTTCAATTTAGGCATCATCATCTTCATCAAATGAAAGCAAAGACTTTTGCTTCTGCTTTTTATCTACTTTTGATTTGGTTTTTTCTTTCCGGACATTGCCTGATTCAGATTTCAATTTTTTCGTTGTACCTCCAAGTGCAGATTCTTTCGACCTTTTAGTTGGCTTTTTAAAAACAATTTTTCCATTATGTTCTTCATCATTCCCCTGAGACTCTGCCTCCTCTGCGGTTAAATCTCCTTCTTTCAAAACAACAACAACAGGTTTTTCATCCTCTTTTTCCTCATCAACACAATCCTCTGATATAGTTTGATATTTATCTGCAATAGTTGCTTCAGGCTTCATTCCAGCCTTTTCTTGAAATTTCCGAATAAATGATGGCTGCTCTTGCTTAACATACTTAATTCCACGATTCGCCATTAGAATGAATATAAAGTATGAAAGATTTGAATTGATAATCAATTACTTCAATGTCTATCTACTTTATCGACAATACAACAAAAAAATTCTGAAAACAAGATTTGATTGGTTAGTCAAAAAACGAATGAATAAAGAAAATATCACCAGCAATGATGTAGATATATATATATACTAGGATGGCAAAAGAAAATCAGATTTGAGCATCGGCTCACAATCGAGCAAGAAATCAGTCTTTGCTAAATAGTTGTAAGTAATTCTATGACTGGCTATTTAGATAGAAGGCATCCAGATAAACATAAACAGTTTGCTTGAAATACAATAAATTTTATACTGAAGGTATTCACACATTATTTCATTTGTAAGTTTACATAGAACCTATACCAAATACCAGCATTGATAAATCATCAGAGTAAACAGGGGTGAAGTGAAACTTGGTTCCAATTAAGGGAACCACAATGAAATGTCTCATTTGACCCAATTTAATCCACATATAGTAGCTGGACTATGAAATTTATCAACACTAGCACCAACAAAATAATGCAAAGACTATACAGCTGCTTTAAAAAGAAACATACAGTGCAATTCAGTAATACTGCATTTTATATTAGAATATGATTATTAAATCTTTAAAGTAAAGAAGCCAAGATTATATCCTGCCCTTCAGATTAAATTTATCATGATCTTTTCCCCTTGTTTTTATACAGATTACTAAATGTTCAAAAAGGGGGATCATGGGGCAAAATAAAACATTGCCCTGAGTTAGATTGCTCGTAAAGCATAGAGTTATAAACCATGTATAAATGTATGATGACTTGTGTAGTAAGTGTGATTATCTCAAACATTCATTGAGAAGGTGAGCGGTTCATAAAACTGGGATCGTAGGCATATTTAAAATATTGCTCTGATTTGGATTTTCTAAAAAGAATAGACTAGACGTGCAGCCAAAACTCCTTTGATGCCGTGTGTGAGGTATAATTCACTTTGAAAAAGTAAGCTGAGAAGAAATACAAAATTTCCCAATTGACAAAAAATCTGTTCCATCCAGAGTGGAATGTAGGCCAGCTACAGACCTTTGTTTGAAAAGTTTGAAATTAGTTGACTTGTTATTCCGACATGTATGATTGTTTGGTCTATAATATATATATATATATATATTTATATACGATCTATATAACCATCCTCAACCCTTATTATTGTTCCGTATAGCAGTTATTCCACTGTTTCTCAGCTTGACCAAATATCTAAAATGACAACAGGAATTTTGAAACAATCTGGCAAAAATATTAGTGGAGTTGCAGAAGCGGAATTGGAAAACAAACATATTTATCAGTATATGTAGCAAATAAATCCAGTTGACAATATAAAAATGTCACATTTGCTTGAATTAGAGCAGGGGTCACCAAACTTTTTCGACTGTGGGGTAGGTATGACTCAAACTGTGTTGATACGGGCCGGACAAATATTTTTGTCAATGCAATACAATAAATTCACAAAAGTTGGGAATCCGTTCAATTTATTCAACAATATAAATTCTACATTTTTGAAGATTTGAATATTAAATTCCATATCGCAGAATATAGATCGAGAACATCATAGCAAAAAAATATACAAGATTTCTAGACAACTATCCTGCGGTTAGCAAAACATTGCTGTCATGAATATCTGCATGTAAGCAGTACAAAAGTTAATGTAACTTGTGAAATTGGAGCAGTACGCGAGAGATTACAGTACTATTAGCGCAAAATGCACGTTCAGCGTTCCTTTTAGCACAAGAAACGTACACAGCAACACCTGAAAGCACGCGCCAAGAGTGCATCCTTTGCAGCTTGGCGCATCCTTTGCAGAAATCGTTGCCGACCAGTAGAGTATTTTAACCTATTTTATCATAGCTATTTCTAGACTAATATTTGATCACTGCAATTAAACTACAACCCTTAAGGCAAAATGTTGATTGACTTATCTGATTCATACTCAAATTTCCGAAACACAACCAAAAACTATATTTAATAACGCTCAAAATCGCGAAAACGAGGTATTGATTACAATGTCATTAATGACTGAAAATCTGTCTGAGTGACAAAAGTGTCTGAGCGGATGCAGAAAGGTCTATTGTTTGTCATTTTATGCATCTTGCTGATTGGTCAATGTTACGAAATAAACAAGGAAGTCGATGCTCGAGGAAACATCGCTTAGAAAAAAAATTTGCCTTGTTATTGAGGGTCAGATGAAAAAACGCCGCGGGCCGTAGTTTGGTGATCCCTGAATTAGAGTATTCTATATCTATTTACCTTCTATTCAACAAAAATTTTCCACGAATATTTACCGTAGTTAGCGAATATAATCCTAGAAGACAATTATTATTATGCTGTTTATATCATTGGGGATAATCTCTTGTGGACACTATTACATCAGAATAATTACACACACATTGAGAAGTTAGTACATTGAAAATAAATATGAAGGACTGAAATATTATCACATTGTGTTTTCTTCATCACATTCACTGGTCTTAATAATTAAATAAGTATTTGCATATTGGCTTCATAATATATCTATATATTTGTATATACAAAAGTGTTAGGTGATATGATAAGATATGTCCTGTTATATTAATTATACTTACTCCAGTTCAACAGGTAGACAACTCAAGTCAAGATTGTAACATTTCCTGAACAATTCTCTAACAACACTGAGACAAAGAACTTTTAAATTTGGTTCTGAAATATATTGGTAACATCTTTATATTAACCAGTATCATAATCACAAATATATCAAACCTCACTCAAACCTTTACACCAGATATAAAAATGATCAGCAAACACAGACATACATAAATAATTATGGGGAGGTTAGGTTTGACTAACGACCTAACAAACGCTTCGGTCAGTACTCAGTAGACAAGACATATGGAAGAATATTTTTCAAATGCACAATGGCACTCTATGGCAACTTTCCAAAAGTTTACATGGTACAGGTACTGGACTTGCTAATAGGACACCCAGACAGAACAGAAAGTATATAAAAGGCTTGGAATCACCATACATATTTGTAATAAAGATTCGGTATTCCATAGTGGAATAAGATAGGTATGTATTTTTCTTTCTTGGAATTAGTGATCGGCACAGCAGTGTGTGTCAAGCCTTAGAAATATGCTCTTCACCGCACCTCTGATTACCCTGCGTATGTGCGAGAGGATTGCTGGACCCTTGTCCCCGTAGGGTGGTTCACATAACTGCTGGTTGGCTTCCTCCACCATCAAGTTCATGTTTCCGAAAACAAATAACTGGCTAACTAATCCCATATCCGACATGGACTGGTAACCGGACGAGAGGCCATGGTTTGCCATATGATTAGGCCATCTTATTGGCTTTCCTCTCCCCCGAGATAAATATGTAAATCCTATCCTAGTGTCAAGATCCATAAATAGAGGAAGAAGTCACACCAGAGTCTGTCAGTTTTTTGAATGTCTTAGAGCAGGGCTTCCCAAACTAGGGGCCGGGGCCGCGGCTGCGAAACGAATTTTAGGGGCCGCAAAGAGAACACCAATTTCACACAAATTACTATATTTGTTGTACTATTTTAGACTCTTGCTCTTGCACAGATAGCACGTTTTCATAAAAAAACTGCTACATAACGATTATTAACCGATCAAAAAGTAGAATTGTTGTATTGCGACCCTCCCCAAAAATGTGATCAATATGCGCTCCCTGTGAAAATACGTATTGATATTATATTCCTTTCAATAAAAGACCTTTTTGCAATGAGTTTAATATAAACGAACAAACAAAACATAACGACAGTCAGTGAAATCCCATTTAATGGCCCCTGGTAGAAAAGCCTGCTTCATATAAATACGAAATCGCAAAGGGGATGGGCGTCAGGGCGTGCGCAACGTTTTTTGAATCAAGGAAAAATAATCTTTATCTACAAAAAACGAATTTTCAGAATTAAACTTTTGTATTATAACACCATCACAGGTGATATCGATTTAATCTTAATTTTTTCAGTAAAAATATAAGAAATGGGTTGTTTGAAAGGTTCATGAATCACGAAATTTTGTGACGCCCTAGCAAAATTGAAACGACGCACTCTGAGAACCACGGGACTAAGTCAAAAAAAAATTGTTGACTTTTTTTTAAGAGGGCGCGCTTTTATTTTAATCATTTTCAAAATCCAGGCTTGGTCTTACTTTTTGGGAAAACACGGTTGAATCATCCCGCTTGCATAACAATAAATATTCTGATCGTAAGACCCGATTTGTGCGTGATTGCATAACAATTCCGGCTTTAATCGTTAAGCTAGCGGTTCCCGATGGCGATTTGCTAAGTGCGCCTCGAAAACTAGGATATTTGTGTTAAATATTAACTAATATATGATTGAATATTTCACATTATTTTATTTATTCTCAATGTTTATTGTTTCTCATTATTGCAAATGATGGGTATATAAATCAAATTCAATTTACCGTTCTATGTTGTTTCCTTTCTGTTACGTAGGGTCTATTGTTACGTAACAGAAGAGATAAACCCAATTGCAATTTCGTAGGTTGCAGTTTATTCATTTGCTAAACCGAGATTATCGAACATGAGTGATTTTTTAGCATTAAAAAAAAAAACCAGGCAGGGATAAAAAATAAAAGTTAAACCTTTAGCCTTTATTTATTACGCCTAGATGTTTATGAACCTTAAAAGGCATAAAGTACACATTAACGATGACAAAATTGTGTTTTAGATAGCATATTTTTCGTGTAGGTGTGCCGCGAGTTTTTTCCATGATAATTGCCTTATGCTAAATTTAATCAATAAAAGCAAGTAACAATTCCGGATAAGAACCATGCCGGCTGGATTTGCTATGCAGCAAAAAGCATCAGCACCCATTACACTGAATAATAAAGTTAATCTGAGTAAATATGTGCTAGTTTTTGTTATTGAGTACGCCTACTTAAAGTTGAGAATTACGGTAGCTGTGTCAATAAAACGGAAAAAATGCATATTTCGAACTGTTTAGCATTATTAACGTGAACGAGGGCCGCGAAAAATTTTAATATATTAAAAGGGGCCGCGAGCTCAAAAGTTCGGGAAGCCCTGGCTTAGAGTCTCACATCAAATGGAATTTTTCTTGAGCTACACAGATTTGGCCAATAGATACAGTGATCGACAGTGTGAAGCTTGTCAGATTCAATCCCATTTTATCAAATAGCTTGAGAAACAATGTCAATAGCTTACATACTGTGCACTGAAAGGGGTACCGGTATCTTACCTAAATCAAGGACATGAGTGTCTGACTGATCTATGAGATCCTGGTTGGAATGAGATGTAGGTGTTGGACTAGAAATATAAAAATAAGCAAATCAAATTTCATTTAAATTTCAGTAACTAGAGTTAGTCATGAAACTATTTTTTTTTTAAATTTTTTTTACTATAACTATACTATACTTTTTTGTGTTTTAAGGAATGCAATAAAGTGTTTCTTGAAATTTTCAAAATATTCTGCTTCATTATCATATTCATACCATTCCCTTTAGCTCATTGACATAGATTAAAAAAAAATAGAATTTAACAGAAAACGAATCACACAAATGTTAAAGATATTAAATATTCACGAAGGAAAGCATTGGTCTAGCAAGGACATAGATAGATTGGCAGTATTTTATATAAACTGCTACAAAAAATTGTCACACAAGTGGAAGTTTAGACAAATTTGAAATTTTCCAGTCAGCGCAAGTTATTTGGGTAAACATTTTTGGCTCTACAACGCTACTTGTTCCATGAAATATATAATATAACCCAAAAAAAACACATACCTTGTTCCACCAAATATATATGCTTTATTGTCTTTATAACAGCAACAATGTCTTCTACGTGGACATGGTCCTATTCCATGAACAGATATTTCTTTCCATAGTCCACTTTCTTAAAATACAAAAAATTGTGATTTTATTAATAACCTAGAATAAGGCTCAGCGATGTGTAATATGCCCTCCACCGCACTTCTGATTACCCTGCGTAGGGCGAATGTTGTGGGAAAAATTATGTGTGAGAGGATTGCTGGACTCCTGGCCGACGTCGGGTGGTTTATGTAACCGCTGGTCGGTTACGACTTCTTTCAACATCATTTCTACGCATCTGAAAAAAATAAATGACTAATCCCATACCCGACATGAACTGGTAACTGAACGAGAGAGGCCGTGGTTCGCCAGCTGATTAAGCTGTCTAATCTATTTCCCCGGGGATAAATATATGAATTCTATCCTATTCTGAGAGTTTAGTAATGATGTATAAACATTTGAAAACCTGCAATTTTGTGTGTTATCAGTCAAATTATGTATGAATCTATTCTATTGACATAATGGTGTAAACTTCACCTCAGGAATATACCTGAGGCTCATGCCAAAGTCATATTAAAATTATTATCTATCTGGGTCTAATTGAACACCTTTCATCGGAAAGAAAAGTATAGGCTACTGGAAGTCTTATTCCTTCATCCTTTCAACTGTACAAAATCAAATACTCACTCGTGTCAAACTTCCAGAGGTCGTTATAGTGCTCGTTTAATTTAGAGTTGAAGCCACCAAATATGTAGATACTATCTTCATGAATAACTATTGCAAACAAAACAAAGTAGGAACTGTAATTTTTCATGCAAAAATATGGGAGGAAGGTTTGAATTATTTGGTTTACGATCACACTTGATCACATTCAATGACTTTTTATCATTTTCCCATTAGGGGCAAGTACGAATAAGAGATATCATCATTGATTATCTAAAACATTTTCAAATCACAAATAGTATAAATCTATTTACATGCAGTATGGCTTCTTCGACCAACTGGCAACTTTTGATTGGCGTGAGCAGCTGCAGACCATTCCAATGTGTTTAGATCCAAAACCTGAAACAATAAACATCTTAAGTCTCTATGCGGCCACTTCTGTAATTTTTTTTCTCAAACACAGTAAAAAAATAGGTAAATCAATTATAAATCAAACTTTTTTCATACATTCATAATTTCGAATTATGTTTACCTTTGAACTAAAGTTTTTGAACCTTACTAGATGACCAAATTTATATAAACTCAAATCCTAAAAAAGCCAATATTAATATTTTTTTTTTACAATTTAATAAAGGAGAAAGATAATTTTTAGAAGATAATTTTATTCATTTTGCTGCCTCGATCTCAGAGGTTGCTTTTTAACAATTTAAAGCAGAGAGATGCAACATACATCCCGCTGGCCATATTCCAGGCCCACGGACCCTATTTACGTGGCCCGCAAGAGACTAAGTATCCCATTATTTTTGAATGATTCATCTTATTTGTAATGGCACTATCGGCGTATCGTGGGTTACATGACAATGTCAGATTGAGATAAAAATTCGGCTGACAATGATTCAATAACATGATGTTTTATATTGATGCTGTGTTGTAATTTAAAAAGTTATCTACCAGTAAGATGATTTATAATGAATTGCGGAAGTTTGACACTGAGTGGTGTCTGAAATACTCCATTGTTCAATACAATCAATATGCGGTTAGCCTAATTTGCCAAAGCAAGTGATACTATTGTATAAAACACTCTGTATTCATCCAAAATATTTTTCATCAAATTGTTACATAAGCTAAATGTATGGCATTACACGAATCTGAAAAATGATGCATTCCAAAAGAAATCGCTCTTTCGGCCCTCAATGTCACCATAATTATTTGTTTTGGCCCATTGCTATAAACAGTTGCACACCCATGATTCAAAGTGTCTGAATTAAAATTAATTGAAGATATTTAACAGAATAAATCAAGTAGGCCTATTGTAACTAACAGTTTGTATTTTACACAGTAAACCTAACTTGTTAATTACTTGATTATTGCTCTCACCAATGAAATACCCAAACCTAATTGGATTAATTGACCCAATAATATGTGTACTACCTTAATATCATTATCATATGGCTGTGAAATAGAATTGTCAGAATCATCTCCTCGTCCACCAAACAAATAAATTTTATCTCCATAAGCCGTAAGAGTATGAAAATCTCTCCACAAACCAGTTTGACCCTATAACAGTAGAATAAAAATAATATAGGACAATGACATGGTTCAATGCAGCATCTCATTCAAATGTGATTCCCTCACCTGAGTTTGTAGTAAAGACCAAGTCAGAGTCCTCATATCCAACATCATGGTTTCTTCAGAAAATTGTTCAACCTAAGAAACATATAAAGATTTGCTATTGATATTATATTCAGGAAACTCATAGTTTGTTCAACTTAAAATCCATCGACTACAAGTCCACAACCATTATAATAAACCTAAAGAGTAATGCATAGTACGATGGCAATTCAAGTGTGTAACTACTGCAGTTTCTCTTGTATTTACAAACTGGAGTATCTCTGTGATTATCAAGTACAGTACCTGAATACCCATGTCTAAAAGCATCAAATAGAGAATATTGGTGAGATATGCTTTCCAAATAGTTTTTCAATTAAGCATATTAAACAAAACTAAAAACTGAATAAAATTTTTTAATTGGTGTAAGAAAGGAAAATTTTCTCTAAATGTGCCAATTCCAGAAACGGGAATATCAAAAACGATATTTCTTTTAACAAAACTGGAAATAATATGTATCACCAAATACACTTATAGTCAATTATATTGGTATAAGGAATAATTCAATGGCGTTGAATGTTGATATTGCTAACCCTGCTGTATGTAAGATTAACAAACCTCTGCTTCGTATCCACCGAAAATGTAGATATTTCCTCTTGCAACACACATTCCATGTCCGTCTCTAGCGCCAGGCAAATGTCCACAGACTTTGGGCGTATGCCAACAAAAATTCCCTGCAATAAACATAATCATATTATAGTCAGGTCATTTAAAACATATTCTGGAGAGACATTGCTTTTGTGCAAAGTGTTCTAAAGTTTTGAAACTTTTGTGTACAATCATGAACAAACTGAAGTTGAAGTGTCATATAAATTTTCGGTAATCCTGAAGTATGCGCGTCAAGATGTCACACAACAGTTCAGGTTGTGCACCATCTTGGTGCGCATAATTCATGAGGTCCAAATTTTCTTCTTTTCCAAAGTCGTATAACGTCCCGGACTCCGGTAAAATCATCAAAGCCTGTGGCTGAAAACAAATATCAATTACGAGAGATTTGACTACAAATCCGAGCACGAATCTTGTCGCATCCCTAATATATGTTATATCAAACCTGTGTCAAAGTAGTATAAAATATTGGAAGCCCCACATAAATCGCTTCTTCCTCCAAACAAATAAGCTTTTTCGTCTATTGCAACAGATGTGTGACCATACCTGTTAATGGCAGAAAAGCAGATTGGAATTCTACAATCAAATTATTAGGTACTCCAGAATTATTTAGTTTTCTTTCAAATTATTATAGAAATACCTCCCTAAATAACAACAACTTGAAATGAAATCCTTATAATCGAATATGCAATCCACTGTTATATCCAAGGGGTAATGCACAATACAGCTACGCCAGTTTCAACTAAACTTGAGGCTTATTAAAAAATTGAAGCATGTCTCTCTAATTTTATTTGCATAATAATAATTGTTTGGACAGGAGTATTATATCACATTGACAAAATTACTAATTCTGAATATAAAGAAAATCCTATTTTTCAGTGATATTGCCACGAAACAAGTCCACACACAATCAGTCGTAAGAGTGACTCATCGCTGAGCATAGTTATGAGTGACCATCGAATTACTAATAGGCTAAATACTGAAAACAACAATTATAAGTAAAGCCAGAAACCAAAAGTTTTTTTTCTTCAAAAATATATATTCACAAAACTTCATCTTAATAATTATAAATACAAAATCCTACAACCATAACTTGGGTGCTGGTACATGCTTTTAGATCAGCGGTTCCCAAACTGGGCCAAAACGCCCCCTTGTAGGCGTTTTAATACCTTGAGGGGCGCTGATGGCAATTTGGGGGCGCTGGCTGTCAAACTGGGCGATTAGGGGGCGCTTACATCAAATCGGGAACTCTCAAGAAGTATGATATTTCATGCCATTCACTTCTACGCTTTGGTTAAAACTAGTTTGCTTGTGATTTCGGTGTTGAAATTTTCTCGCTCAACGCAGAATAGGTAATAGGACTTTTTTAAATCTGTATTGTTTCACAATAAATCAATAATACATAGCGCATACAGCATACGCTTCCTCCACCATGCACTGCACGTTTCGTTTTACTGTTTTGAATAACAGCTTCATTTTACTAGCGGTGTAGTGTAGTGTAAGTACAACACCCTTATGTTATAATTTTGGTTTTGTTAAGAACAAAATGTGAGAGCTGGGCATCTGATTGAACTGCCGCACGCCAGATAGGACCACCTCCATGTTGCGACTCAACTGGTTCATTTTCATTTCTTGGGTCATTGAATAATAAGGCTACATAACATAAGTAATACATAAATTGGCAAAAGGCAAAGATCCAGCCTGTTGTTATATCATGTTGTGTCTGACATTGTTTAAAGTCGGTTTATCATTTGTGTTGGGCAAGTTCAAAATATCGAATACAGTGACTTGAGGCAGCATATTTAACCGGTTTATATTAAAAACAGTATTATATAGCGTGGTTCCCAAAAAACAAGACCATCAATTACTCGATTACTTATACGAAAATGGAGTGAATTATTCAATTTTGTCTAAACTTGAACTTCTGTTTCACTATTCTTTGAGTATTTCTCCATTTTATTTCTGCAATCGCAGCCTTGAGTTTAGCAATCGTTTGAGGATTGTTCTGATACAAATTGTCCTTCGAACTCCCTACATATCAAAATCTGAGAGGTTTCAGTCCGATAATTAATAAGGTGCCTTACTGGATGTCACTGCTAACTTCTCTCTCAGGATAGCAAGCGTCTGATTTGATGTATGGGGTGTCGCCTCGTCATGCTTGAACCACTGCTGGTCACCTCTATCAATCTATTAAGTAATGTCCAGAATTTTTTCGGCACAAACATGTAATGTTCTGTATTCACCGTTTGGTTGGAAATTTTGCATTGAGTATATACTATTGAGTATAATCATACACAAACAGAAGTTCAGGCACAAATAAGATTGAATAATTTTTTTGGAGATAGTAAAGAAATTTTTGGTTTCCGTTTTCTAGATAACCCTAAAATTTCCAGAAGCGAAAATGCACCACTATCATTGGGTTTATACTTCCAAACTCATGTTTAGTGATCCATGTTTTTGGGAACAGAATCAAATTGAAATATCCTCATGAGTGAGATTGGGTTAAAGGTTTTTTTTATTGCTCTTGCCAGCTCATTCTTGGTGGAGCGAGTATTTAGGGCAACGACTGCACTTTTACATATCAAGAGAGATAAAGTTGCTTTGACATTTTTGTTAGGGGGGCGTTTGCTAGTTAAAAAGTCATCCAAGGTGGCAGAAAAAGTTTGGGAAACAGTGTTTTAGATAAAACCACAAAAATTGATGGATCCTTCAAGTTAATTTTCTGAAATTCCACCAAATCTCAGGCAAAAGTATTATCATAATTCTAAAATCATAGATATCATATGATTAAATTCGTCCCGAAATAAAGAAATGCCAATACAAAGATAAAAGTACCTCATGTATGGAACATTTTCAAAATATTCGTTCCTTTGCTGTATTCTTCTCCATCTTAAGAATTCTAAAAATAAATGTCATAAATATATTTGCATACATGAGAGAGTGGTGACCTGCAGTCTAAAAAACTATGACTAATGTTGAAATTTTATTACAAATATACCGGTCTTACTACTTACTGAATACAGCGCAAACACCGCAAAGAGCGCAAAACAGAGGGAAACAGCGCAAAACAGCGCGAAAGAGCGCAAAACAGAGGGAAACAGTGTGAAGCGGACAATTTTTTTGCAATGAGTTCGGGGCACCTTGTTTTGAGTTGGAGTACCACGGCAGCAAATTAAAAACACAAACCAACGTATGTAGCCAGTAATGCTGTAATGGCAGGTCTGCCCCTGCTGGTGACACATTTTGGGTACCATAATTTAGAACATTTTCCATATGGATATGGTTGGCTTTAGGGTTAGGTAAAAAGGGACCTCCAGAAGTATGTGCACCAAGGTGGCGCACAACCTGAAAATAGTATGTGTGTGTGTGTGTGTAGCGGATTCAGGTTGTGCGACATATTGCTGCACATACTTCTGGAGCACCAAAAAGGTAGATAAAATTCCGCATGATGACCTATAATCCGGTTCATAGCCTTGTAAATATACCGGAAATAGCGCCATAAAACCATGGCGAGAGGCGCCGTGGTTCTTTCGTGGCAGGAGGTGGTAATGACTGCGTCTCCTGTTTTGCGCTGTTTCCCTCTGTTTTGCGCTGGTTTCCTTCTGTTTCGCGCTGTTTTCCTCTGTTTTGCGCTGTTTCGCGCTGATTTGCGCTCTTTGCAGTGTTTCGCGCTGTATTCAGTAAGTAGTAAGACCCCAAATATACATCAAAACATGAGGCCAAGAGCCTTTGATATGCATATTATTTTGTGGCTACAATTGCCTGAATTCTCAAGTTGTTAGAGTTAACAGTTATTAGAGGCTTTATTAACAGGCATTCAAGTCAGTAAGTTGTCTATATATCTGTATTTCTGCATCTGGTTATAAGCCACTCATGATAGGTAATATATGGTGTTCAGGCATTTTTGTTAACACAATAACAAAGGGAGCATTTTTATCAACACAGTGAAGCAAACGATACCTAGCATGCACTAAAATTACGTTATAGGTCTGTAGGTGTGAAATATTCTGTTATTATTCAACATTTACAACCTACAGACCTAGGCAGCATGGTCATCCCAATAATTTAAGGATGGTGAGCTGCCTGTCCAGTGTATATTGCTCAGATAAAAACACCCTACAAATACCATACTTGTAGATACTAAAATTGTCATCATTAAATCAGTAAATGAAATAAAATACAGCATTACCGGTACCGTACCTGATTATTACTGTATTAACATTTAGTAAATTTAGGCTAAACAGACACAGGTAGACTCACCCGTATTAAAGGCATAAATATCGATGGCAGTCCAGTCAGTATCAGCATCATCAGTATTGTAATCTTCTCCAGAACAAAATCCACCAAACATATATATATCTTTATTGATAATTACTGCCGAGTGGTTAACTCGTTGAGGTCCACCCTCAATCGAATATGTCCAAAAAGGGTGCATATCATCAGTATCTTTGAATCATTGCTGAATATGTGAATTGTCAGATTATAAACAACTAGATGTACAAACATGCATGTCATGCATATATCAGTATATTAGATACTTGGCCCTACAGCCACCTAGGTAAAGCTAGCGGACACTTCCAGCGGACAGTTACCTATTTTTCCAAATTTGAACCCGCCATGTTCCACGAATTGATCGCAAATAAAGTGGACAGTTGTCGCAAATTCACTTAATTGCGGCTACATGGATGCAAAAAATGAGGCGATTCGCCCTTTTAGAAACTCACGACAGACCTAAAACATTTTTTTCGGTGAAATGAATTATTGCTCAGAAGCTCATTTATCGACAAAATCTAAAATTTAACTGAGTTGAAGCGTAATTTATGCAAGAAATAATTTTTACTCATTCAATTCATTAATGCTGTGTGTTTGGTGAACAAATATATTAATATACGAAACATATTAAAATTAAGAAAAAATCCACCGTGCGGAAAGTAGGAAAATTCCCCCCAATCGAAGAAAAAAATATAAGAAATCGTCAATTTGACTCAGTTAAAGCGTAATTTAGGTAAGAAGGAATTTTTTCTCATCCAATTCATTAATGCAGTGTGTTTGGTGGACAAATATAAATACATATTGAAATTTTAGAAAAATCCACCGTGCGGAAAGTAGGGAAATTCCCCCCAATTAAAGAAAAAAATTTAATAAATTGTCAATTTAACTCAGTTAAAGCGTAATTTAGGTAAGAAGGAATTTTTTCTCATCCAATTCATTGATGCAGTGTGTTTGGTGGACAAATATACAATACATATTAAAATTTTAAAAAAATCCACCGTGCGGAAAGTAGGGAAATTCCCCCCAATTGAAGAAAAAAATATAAAAAATCGTCAATTTGACTCAGTTAAAGCGTAATTTAGGTAAAAGGAATTTTTTCTCATCCAATTCATTAATGCGGTGTGTTTGGTGGACAAATATAAAATACATATTAAAATTTAAAAAAAATCCACCGTGCGGAAAGTAGGGAAATTCCCCCCAATTGAAGAAAAAAATATAAGAAATCGTCAAATTGACTCAGTTAAAGCGTAATTTAGGTAAGAAGGAATTTTTTCTCATCCAATTCATTAATGCAGTGTGTTTGGTAGAAAAATATACAATACATATTAAAATTAAAAAAAAATCCACCGTGCGGAAAGTAGGGAAATTCCCCCCAATTAAAGACAAAAATATAAGAAATCGTCAATTTAACTCAGTTAAAGCGTAATCTAGGTAAGAAGGAATTTTTTCTCATCCAATTCATTAATGCAGTGTGTTTGGTGGACAAATATACAATACATATTAAAATTTAAAAAAATCCACCGTGCGGAAAGTAGGGAAATTCCCCCCGATTTAAGAAGAAAATATGAGAAATCGTCAATTTAACTCAGTTAAAGCGTAATTTATGCAAGAAATATTATTTTCTCATCCAATTCATTGATGCAGTGTATTTATTCGACAAATATAAAAAAACATATCAAAATTTAAAAAAAATCCACCGTGCGGAAAGTGAGGGAAATTCCCCCCAATTTGATAAAAATATTTAAGAAATCGTCAATTTAACTCAGTTAAAGCGTAATTTATGCAAGAAAGAATATTTTTTCATCCAATTCTTTAAAACAGTATTTTTGGTGAAAATATATAAAACACATAGTAAATTTAAAAAAAATTCCACCGTGCGGAAAGTAGGGAAATTCAGTACTCCCGAAGTATGAGCACAGAGATGACGCACAACCTGAAAAAAATAGGTGGTGTACCAGGATAGGTTTAGCTTTAGAATCTAGATTGTACGCTTTTGGGAGCGCAGGAAATAACCCATTCATGCAAGAAATAATTTTTTCTCATCAAATTCATTAATGCAGTATATTTGGTGGACAAATATAAAATACATATTAGAATTTTTAAAAAATCTACAATCGTCAATTTGACTCAGTTAAAGCGTAATTTAGGTAAGAAGGAATTTTTTCTCATCCAATTCATTAATGCAGTGGGTTTGGTGAACAAATATACAAAACATAATGAAATTTGAAAAAAATCCACCGTGCGGAAAGTAGGGATATTCCCCCCAATTGAAGAAAAAAATATAGGAAATCGTCAATTTGACTCAGTTAAAGCGTAATTTAGATCAGAAGGAATTTTTTCTCATCCAATTCATTAATTCAGTGTGTTTGGTGGACAAATATAAAATACATATTGAAATTTAAAAAAAATCCACCGTGCGGAAAGTAGGGAAATTCCGCCCAATTGAAGAAAAAAATATAAGAAATTGTTAATTTAACTCAGTTAAAGCGTAATTTAGGTATGAAGGAATTTTTTCTCATCCAATTCAATAATGCAGTGTGTTTGGTAGACGAATATACAATACATATTAAAATTTTCCAAAAATCCACCGTGCGGAAAGTAGGGAAATTCCCCCCAATTAAAGAAAAAAATATGAGAAATCGTCAATTTAACTCAGTTAAAGCGTAATTTAGGTAAGAAGGAATTTTTTCTCATTCAATTCATTAATGCAGTGTGTTTAGTGAACAAATATACAAAACATATTAAAATTTAAAAAAAATCCACCGTGCGGAAAGTAGGGATATTCCCCCCAATTGAAGAAAAAAATATAGGAAATCGTCAATTTAACTCAGTTAAAGCGTAATTTATGCAAGAAATATTATTTTCTCATCCAATTCATTAATGCAGTGTGTTTGGCGGACAAATATACAAAACATATTAAAATTTAAAAAAATCCACCGTGCGGAAAGTAGGGAAATTCCCCCCGATTTAAGAAAAAAATATAAGAAATCGTCAATTTAACTCAGTTAAAGCGTAATTTATGCAAGAAATATTTTTTTCTCATCCAATTCATTTATGTAGTGTATTTATTCGACAAATATAAAATACATATCACAATTTAAAAAAAATCCACTGTGCGGAAAGTAAGGGAAATTCCCCCCAATTTGATAAAAATATTTAAGAAATCGTCAATTTAACTCAGTTAAAGCGTAATTTATGCAAGAAAGAATATTTTCTCATCCAATTCATTAATACAGTATATTTGGTGAAAATATATAAAACACATAGTAAATTTAAAAAAAATTCCACCGTGCGGAAAGTAGGGAAATTCAGTACTCCCGAAGTATGAGCACAGAGATGACGCACAACCTGAAAAAAAATAGGTGGTGTACCAGGATAGGTTTAGCTTTAGAATCTAGATTGTACGCTTTCGGGAGCGCAGGAAATAACCCATTTATGCAAGAAATAGTTTTTTCTCATCAAATTCATTAATGCAGTATATTTGGTGGACAAATATAAAATACATATTAGAATTTTAAAAAAATCCACCGTGCGGAAAGTAGGGAAATTCCCCCCAATTGAAAAAAAAATATATAAGAAATCGTCAATTTGACTCAGTTAAAGCGTAATTTAGGTAAGAAGGAATTTTTTTTCATCCAATTCATTAATGCAGTGTGTTTGGTGGACAAATATAAAATACATATTGAAATTTAAAAAAAATCCACCGTGCGGAAAGTGGGGAAATTCCGCCCAATTGAAGAAAAAAATATAAGAAATTGTCAATTTAACTCAGTTAAAGCGTAATTTAGGTATGAAGAAATATTTTCTCATCCAATTCATTAATGCAGTGTGTTTGGTAGACGAATATACAGTATATATTAAAATTTTCAAAAAATCCACCGTGCGGAAAGTAGGGAAATTCCCCCCAATTAAAGAAAAAAATATGAGAAATCGTCAATTTAACTCAGTTAAAGCGTAATTTAGGTAAGAAGGAATTTTTTCTCATTCAATTCATTAATGCAATGTGTTTGGTGAACAAAAAATATACAAAACATATTAAAATTTAAAAAAAATCCACCGTGCGGAAAGTAGGGATATTCCCCCCAATTGAAGAAAAAAATATAGGAAATCGTCAATTTGACTCAGTTAAAGCGTAATTTAGGTAAGAAGGAATTTTTTCTCATCCAATTCATTAATGCAGTGGGTTTGGTGAACAATTATACAAAACATATTGAAATTTGAAAAAAATCCACCGTGCGGAAAGTAGGGAAATTCCCCCCAATTAAAGGAAAAAATATGAGAAATCGTCAATTTAACTCAGTTAAAGCGTAATTTAGGTAAGAAGGAATTTTTTTCTCATTCAATTCATTAATGCAGTGTGTTTGGTGAACAAATATACAAAACATATTAAAATTTAAAAAAAATCCACCGTGCGGAAAGTAGGGATATTCCCCCCAATTGAAGAAAAAAATATAGGAAATCGTCAATTTGACTCAGTTAAAGCGTAATTTAGGTCAGAAGGAATTTTTTCTCATCCAATTCATTAATTCAGTGTGTTTGGTGGACAAATATAAAATACATATTGAAATTTAAAAAAAATCCACCGTGCGGAAAGTAGGGAAATTCCGCCCAATTGAAGAAAAAAATATACCAAATTGTCAATTTAACTCAATTAAAGCGTAATTTAGGTATGAAGGAATTTTTTCTCATCCAATTCATTAATGCAGTGTGTTTGGTGAAAAAATATAAATTACATATTAAAATTAAAAAAAATCCACCGTGCGGAAAATAGGGAAATTCCCCCCAATTGGAGAAAAAAATATAAGGAATCGTCAATTTGACTCAGTTAAAGCGTAATTTAGGTAAGAAGGAATTTTTTCTCATCCAATTCATTAATGCAGTGTGTTTGGTGGACAAATATAAAATACATATTAAAATTTAAAAAAATTCCACCGTGCGGAAAGTAGGGAATTTCCCCCTAATTTGAGGAATAAATATACGAAATCGTCAATTTAACTCAGTTAAAGCGTAAGTTAGGTAATAAAGAACATCTCCTCATCCAACTCATTAATACAGTGTATTTGGTGGACCATTATAAAACACTTATTAGATTTAAAAAAAAAAATCATTTTGCGGAAAGTAGGGAAATTCCCCCCAAGTTAGGGAAACAATTTACGAAATCGTCAATTTAACCCAGATAAAGCGTAATATAGGTAAGAACGAATACTTTCTCATCCAATTTATCAATACAGTGTATTTGGCGGACATATATAAATCACATATTAAAATTTTGAAAAATTCCACCGTGCGGAAAGTA